GATGTCAAAGTTAGGGCAAGTGCTAGCTTTCTTGAGAATTAAAGTAAGCATTTTAACTCTTTCATTTCGTTTGATAAAATCAATATTTGTTTTTATACTAGTATTATTAATAATATCAATAACTGGTGTGTCACTTTGTGCCACAAGCTTACTATACACAATACCAGCTGGAATATGTATAGTTGTATCACATGCACAATGTAAACATGACCTACCATTATTATCATTAACTAATAATGCTTCATTACCTTGAATACTAACAATATACTCAACAACTGATGATGAAGCATACCATGAAGCAATATGAAGTGGAGTTCTTTTTTGTTGATCCTTTACATCAATGGATAGCTGATATTGACTTAAAAGATACTTAAAAAGCTCAACGTTATTACTCATAGAAGAGTAATGCAGTACAGTAGATTCAACAATATCTTTTGAATCTGGTGAGAAGAGGTTTAATGATTCAAGCTTGTGGACTAATGCTAACTCTCCACTTTGACAAGCTAACGATGATAAAGAAACACTACCACAATTAATCTGAGAAGTATTAAAATTTCTCTTAATAAAGAATTCCACTAGGTCAGAATGGCCCCCCATTGCTGAGTACAGTAATGCAGTGTTATTGCTATTGTCTGGTTGATCAGGAGGAACGTCACACGTGTCTACTAGATATTGTACTATAGATAAGTGGCCTTTATAAGATGCCATATGTATACTAGATACACTATTATCATCACCTTCATTAGGATCAATACCATATTGATGGATGAGTAGTTGAAGGATCTCAATGTGTCCACCATATGATGCAGAGTGTAATGGGGTCCAACCATGAAGACCACGATGATATGTCCTGGAGCCAAACTTGTCAAGAAGCCATTGTACTTCATCTTTTAATCCTCTCCAAGCTGCTTCATGTAATGGTGTACTGGTATTCTCATACCATAATGGATCACATATATCTAATAAAAATAAAATCAAAAAATTCAAATATTAGTGTGAATTACAAAAAATTTATAAACTATCTTACCAATACTAACAGATGAATACTGCAGAGACACTTGTGATTCTGATAGCTATCAAAATGATGATGTCAATTTCATATAATAATTACTATTATCTAACCTTTTTATAATCATATTCACCACATGTTAGTTCAGTGATACCAATACTAGCTAACTGTTGCTGTAGCTTTGTAGTTAGAGGAAATAATAAAGAATAAAGATACTCAGGAATGAGGTATTCTAAGACAATAGAACCAGGACGAACTCGAAGAAAATAAAGATTGAAATCAGGAATATCACATTCTTTTGGTATTGCACTACGAAAGAAGAATAGGTCATCCAGTGTGTAGTCATCACGATCAACCTTAGCAATCACTACTTTTGTACCAGGAGGAGCATCTCTTATTCCAAATTCTAAAGCATCAGCATCTTTCAATAGTCCACCACTGTTTATAAAATAATCCTTCAACTTCTCTTCGTATGATGACCAAGTTCTCTTTAACAAACGATTGTCACTCAGGCACGCACGAACAAGTTTAATTATCAGTTCATAGTTGAACCATGATACATACTTATCTTGCAAAATGATAAAAAGATCAGTC